TTACTTACATTATTATCAAACAGTGCAAAGTAATAGAATTAAGATAATCAAAATTCTTAACAATTATGTAACATGAACAAATATGGCACAGTTACCGCACTGTAAACATATTATATTACTTTATATCATATTAAATAATGAATGTAGAATAATAACCCGATATGAAATACACAGTCGAATTTACACGATATAACAACACACGCGAGTAAATACGAATAACAGAAATTAACTATACAATAAGGTGAAGCAGAGTAGTATCGTATGTCAACGTCCTAAAAACAACGTCTTCCCAGTAACAAAATTTTAGAGATTTTGAAAGACAATTGTAGGTTTTCTAAATAATTTCCAAGTGGAGAATCGTTTGAACCGCCATAGTGATAACAACTATACCGGTTAAACATAAAAGATAGAAAATTTTAGTGTATATATGGACGCTAAAAACATTCCAGACCCAGGAAAAAGTCCTGGAAAAGCCCAACAAATGGACTATGAAACTTTAAATAATAGAAGACGTAAAAACAGTGACAGTGATACAGAAACAAATCCACCGTCCAAGCAACACCGGAACGAAGAAGCCGGAAGGAACTTCATACAGTTTCAACCAGTAGAAGCAACAACACCGAACCCAGAAATCAAGTAGGCATGAACAGAGATGTAATACTAATACAACTATCAGGGGAATCATTAACTTCAAATTTCAATAATCCAATCAAATTGACTAACGCAATTAACAAATCAGAATTTCATAAATATATCATTGAAGACACACTCAGAGTCCTAGGGATTGGGAAGGCAATAAGATTTGAAATAGAAGACTTAAAAAAATAAGACCACTAACAGAAATAAAAAAACTTGGACCATGGGAAATAACTTGTAAACAGCCTACATCAAGTATTAATACAGATTGCACTTACGCAACTATATATCCAGTTGAACCAGAACTGGATATGAAAACAATAAAAGAAAAGATAAGAACTATAAATGAAATCTCACACATCCAAGATGTAATAAGAATTAATAAAATCAACACCGATAAAAACAAAATTGAAAAATGGACTCCAACAAAATCATTAAGAATTACATTTAAAGGACCACTACCAGAGAGAGTTATAATTGGACACACATCCTACAAGACACAGCAATATACCTTCCCAATCCCGAAATGTTATAACTGTTTGAGATATGGACATGGGATCTTAACCTGTAAAAATAAAAAAAGATGTAGTAGATGTAGCAGTATTAATCACGAATTTAAAAATTGTATGAATGACCAATATTGTTTCTTTTGTGATGAAAAACATACACCAAACAGCAATGAATGTGACATACACAAAAAAGCACAAGAAATCAACAAACAAAATTTTACACCAAATAACCCAGATATAAAGAAAAAACTACAACAACTAAAACCAAAATCAGAACAAACCACAAATCATAACAACAAAGACAAAGAATCCCAACAAGACAGCACAAAAATAACAAAAACAAAACATACACCACAGAGTAACACATATCCCAGAAACACAAATCAAAACCAAAACCAGAGTACACCACAGAGCTATGCACAAGCAATAACATCAACACAAAATGTAACACCAGGACAGAGAACACCTCCAAGACAAAAAATACAAAACACAGAGAGAAACCCAATCCAGTTCAAATTAACACCAGAAACAAATAAACAACAAAATAAAACAGAACCAGTAAAACCACCAAACCACACAAACAAACCAAAAAATACAAATACAGAACAATCGCCAGTAACATGGACTTTACCCACACCAATAACCCACTCCCATCATCCAAACTCAAGAACTACTCCTTTAACCCAAATACACCATCACCCATCACCCGTGCCAAACACATACACTGAAAAACAAAAGGGAATAAACAGAAAAGAAGAAGAAGAAGAAGAAGATAAAGAGAATTCAAACTGGGTAACTACCACAAAAACTATAATCAATGCAATAACAAATTTGATAAACAATATAAATTCAAAGAAATCCTTTTTAGAAATAATAATTGAAACAACAAAAGATTTTACCCCAATTTTAAAACAAATAATTAGATTAATAAATGAATAAAATAATTCTATGGAATGCCCATTCTATCCATAGAAAAAAACAGAATTAGATTATTTAATCTATAAAGAAAACCCAGGTGTAATCGCATTATGCGAAACTTGGTTAAAAGATAAAGATAATTTTAAAATAAATAATTATGATATAATTAGGAAAGACAGAAAGAATCAAATTGGTGGAGGGTTAATTTTAGGCATTAGGAAAGACGTGCAATTTAAAAAACTAAATTTAAATGATATGTACCAACATAGGATAGAAATCCTAGGTGTAAAAGTCCAATA